AGTAATGCATTATTATTAAAATTATAGATATTTCAGTTATTGACATTTATTTTTTATGATACTTCTAATTTACATCTAATATGGAATATTAGAAAAATCTGAACTATTTTGCAATTTGAAAATAATTTGTAGAGTTAAGTCAACGGTGAATAATTTCAAACCGCAGCTGCTGAATTGCTATAGTAGACTTATCGGCGACCCTAACTTTTTTTTATTATTCCACCTGCTATGCTGTTTCGAAGATATATTCTTTAGCTAACGGGCAATATCCTCATTAGTCATTCCCTTCCACCGCAGAAAATGTATGTACTACAAAAAAATCTTTTTTTTCTGTAACTGATTCTGTAAAATTAATAAAAATTCAATGAGGCTTTAAATTATTTAAACCTTCGTTATAGAATGGTAATTTTATTAAATACATCCGTCTTATTAAATAATAATGTTTTTTTTTATACAAACTATATAGTATTAGTTTAAACAGTTATATTTTTACTAATATTTTTGTCTCTAAATTTTAGCTACTGTTTTCAACAATATTAACAATAATTAATGTAATTATTGTAAAATGTCATGTCATGTTGTCTTCTCTTGTCAATTATACTTATAAACAATGTTTTATAGTAGGCGTTCAAATTAAGTGAATTAATGCGCACGCCAGTTTCTTTACTCACCCAAGAAAACTATTTAATATTCTCAGCGTCTCGGTGTGCCATTAATTCAATTTGTAATTTGCATGGAAACATGAAAGAATTTGAAGTTCGGACAAGCACGCTATGGAAAGTTAAATTGCTGCGAAGTGCCATCTTCTGCCATCTACCGGCGAGTAGTCGCGACTGACAATATTTATACACTCATTTAATCGCCATCTAGATAAATTATGATACATTCATATAAATACAACTGAATTATTAAAGAAAACTGCACCTTCGTGGTTTATCGGTACAGAAAACATGTACATGCTTTTCCCACAAGACCGAACACTCGTCATGCATCACCACATTTTTACTCATTCACGAATTCACAGTCATGCATTCCTAAAGATAAAAGGCAACGGGATCAATTCCCCACCTAGCCACATTGAAGAAAAAAAAAAAAAAAAATGTACATGCAATTACAGTTTCCATTTTTTAGCTATATAAGAAGAAATCTATTTATAATTACAGATTTCGTTTTTCAGTTATAAAAGATATCTATATCTGATTACAGATTTCTGTATCCACTTACTAAAGAAATCTACTTGTTTTCCCCATTTCTTACAGGTTTCTGTTAGGAAAAGTCGAGAGATATCGAGTTTTCAGTTTAAATTTAAAAATATTATTATCACAATTTAATAAATAACATGCATTGCATTTGAAAATTAATCAAAACAATTTTGGGACACATGTTTTTAAATTAGCGTTTGATTTATATGTTATCTTTTTATATTTAATAAAAAAATAAAAGAATATCTTGATATAAGACGATTTCATTTACATAATGAGCTAGTGTCTATTCTAATTTAATCAAAGGACATAAGTTATGTATCATCTGCGAATGTAGCACCAGTAATTTTATTGGATATAGTCAGATCCAATGTAAAAATGAAATAGAGAAAACGTCCGAGTATACTTCTTTGATTTCAAATATATTGGACCTTGCTTCTTGCAACTTTATCAGGGTAGGTCTATCCGTTTTATAAGATTATATAATTTGGAAAAGAGGATATAGAAGTATGAGAAGAAATAATGGAAATAAATATTTCATACTCGTTTTTTTTTTCAAAGCAGACTAAAAATAAATAATGAAAAATCAATGTGTTCGTTATTTGATTTTAAAATCTATTATAATCCACTATGTTTCTAGCACTAGACTGTATATGTCAAAAATCATAAAATTACAATAAATTGTCACAAGGATTGTTTAAGCCGGAAAATTTATACCGTTATTTCAATCCAAAGATCTACCACATAACACAATAATGGCAATGCAAGAAGAAGTGTATTCTGGGCAATGCAAGAAGCAGTACCGGATGCATAAGAATGAGTTACGATCCAGTGCCATCGATTGTAATCTTTGTATTATGGCAATGTTAGACATGCTGCTGACTCCCCACATTGTTGGCAGTCTCGTGGACATGAGCTTCGCCATGAAAATAGGGGAAAGTAACCATTCTTCTCAATTTTTGTAGCTACTACTGGGTTACGTCCTATAAAAATGGTCAATAGATAGTTTATAAGTAAAATGTTTACAATTATATTATTAAGTTGTTACATAAGTCCGTTTGTATTTTTGTGTGCACACATTAACGTCCAGTGGACTGTGAATATTTAGGTGGAATGGTATTTTTGCTAACGATGGTTGTAGTGTACAGTTGTGGCTACATTTTAGTGCAATGTTTATTTAATTCTGCTATCTAGTTTGTCAATGCGAGACCTCACACATCTGTTTAGATAATTTATTATCATCTTTCAATTTCCAAAAATTGTCCATGTGCTATAAAATTTTTCATGGTTACATCAATCATCAACAGAAATTAGAATATTTTTTTGAAAATTATAGTTCTAGTAATTTTTTCGCGACCCCCATTGAGAAATTTACACCCACACATATTCTTAGCAAATATATAGTTATACTTGGAAAACTATTTGAATTTGAAACAAAAATATGTGAATTATTTGGTTGTCCTTTATTTTAGTAACATATTTTTTTTTAAATTTATAATCACACACCGTCTTTATTCGAATAATTATCTATCTCTCAATTACAAATATAATTACTGTAATAATTATTTTATATATGACATCATCACGGTTTTGAAAGTGCTATCATCCGGTATTGCTTTTTGATGATGCTCGTGCATGTTTTTATAAAATGAATCCCAATCGATTTCGTGCATATCGAAAAGAAACATTCGCTGATCGACCGCATTTAGACTACTCCACAAACAGTCGACATTTTTGGTAAAAAAATTGAATTCTTTATTCATAAAATAGTGCAAAACTCGTATCATTTTCTCGTGTCTTCTTATAGTATCTATATTCCTACAAAAAAAAAACAAAACAATGAAAACAATATTGATATTTTGGGATTATAACTAACCTTGCTGGTTTTCCAATCATTTCTAAGTATAAATCCTTTAAGTGACAGCTCAAACGATCTTTGAATGATCCAAATATAAGCCACGGATTATGTATTCCTTTCATGTAACTCGTGTAAAGATCCGCCCATGTTTGCGTGTATAAAGAAAAATTGTAAAATTTTATATGGGCACGACTGAAAATTTTATAGTTAGAATAACAGAACGAAAGAAAAAAATATGTTTACTCATTTGAAGCAACTTCATTTGATGCAGCTAAGATGCAATTCACGCAAAAGTCGACCGGCGGAGCGTTTCCTGGAGCTTTCGGATTTAAATCAACCATATACCCAAGATGTGCCTTGCTCAAAACACTTGTAAATCCATTAGGATTTTTTATCCAATACGGAAATGGTTCAGCGTAAGATTCGATGACTGAAAGTAAATTATAAAAACATATGCTTACAATCGCTATAAGCAAAGACTTACTGCTGCCAGGCCTGAAAATACCAATTTTGAAATGATTCCTGTACTTATACACCAAATTCTCCGACGCGTTTTTTGTGTACGTGTACGTATTGGGCCAATCCATCATCAAATTCGCGGATTCTCTTTCCAACTCTTCAGAGGTAAGTTCGTCGCTCATTACCATCAGAATCTCAGGATCTACCGGATGAATGTAGAGTTTCTCATCTATTTCATGCTCAGATCGTCTGTGATTTACGTACGCTGTCGATATATGCATAAAACACTGCAAAATAACTATTTAAAACTCATAATTAAATATATTATTATTATTAATTACGTCTAGAAAAGCGCATCCTTTTGCAATTTTCAGTAGCTCGTTTGTGCCGTAAATATTGTATTTAATTGCGTTTCTCAAAGGCGTAATTTGGTTAAGGCAAGCTGCGCTGTTGACTATTATGTTGACATTGGTATGGATTGTTTCGATCATCTCTGGTGTTAAATCCAAATTCGCTTTCGTGATATCTCCATGAAGCCATACAATTTTATGCAAATACGTTGGATTCTGATTTTTAACTTTGTTGAATATCTTAAAAAAAAAACAAAATTAATTTATATTATGAAATAACTACTCAATCTGAAAGTACTTACTAATTCTTCTTAAATTAATTATAAAATAAACGAAATATTAAGTAACTTGTGCAGAAAGCCCAAAATATCCATAAAATATTAATATAAGTAATTAATTATGCAGATGTTCTAATTTTTGCATTTTTTTATTATTTTGTCTCAAAATTCAGTAAATGATTGTTAACATAAAACGAAACAAAATAAATAAGTAAATAATACATTTTACATTAGAATAAAATATAAAAAAATTATGAGGAATATTGCATAAATCTAAATAACAATCTATATTGCAACAGTTACGTAAACTAAAATAAAGAGAAACATTTTAATGCAACGTCAAGAATAAAACAAATATCAACTGCAAACTGCTTTAACTGCTTGCCCAGGAAATAATAGTATAATGTACATAAGTTGATTGAAAGAAAAACACCAAAATTCATAACGGTACTTTTCAAGCTATCAGTGAATGCTGCAAATCTGACTTCAGACCTATTTTCGACTCTTGCAACACCTATCAAATGTTTTGAGACTAGGAAGGTCTGGAGCAAAACTTCGAAAACATAGTGCTATGCGTTCTTAATTGGCTGTGATATTTGTGTGTTTATAAAGGAATAATTAGGAGGCTTATGTATTTAATTATCGAGGTGTATAAGTTTGTTGATTGCTCGGAGGGCCATTCTCTCTGCCACGGCAAGATTATGATCACCGAAAAGTAACTTTTTGAATAGAGGTATAGTTAATGAGTGGACTATAGTACTTTTTATAAATAGATAATTGCGTTTTAACGTTCCATCTCCGACCCCTGATCATCAGCGTTTTAAAAAGTTATTGCATTAAAGAAATGTATGAAATGTTAATACACGTTTTAAATATGTTCATTGTTGTTTCTTTTATTGTTTTCTCTGGGAAAGAAGATCTATTATATTATTGCAAACACATAACGAAAGAAAGTAAAACAAAATGTCAAAGTTTTTATATTTAGCTTTTTATTTTTTTCTATTATTGTTTGAAGATTAGAATTATTTAATAGATTTTTGAAATACAGTCACAAACCGATTAAAGTAACATTTGATATCTATAAAATATAGTTTGCAACAAATACAAATTAGACGATTACTAAAAGAACTAAAGCATTGAAATAAAAGTCAAACTTAACTGCGGTTAATTGTGAACAAATTATGCCTAAAAGTTGAATTTATTTTATTTAAGTTCCGAAAATTTTGACAAAGATAAAATAAAATCTCTAAATGCTGAACATAATAAATTTAAAAAATATGTTATTTTATTTGGTTTATCAATAAAGTTAATATTCTTCACTTTCTTATATAAAATTAATTGAACCAAAATAACACATACCTCATTGCTGAAATATTCGTTGACCCTTTTATTGAAATTCTGTTCTTTTTTAGTTCTAATCAACAGATAGATGAAGCCTACGTCTGGAACGACGCGCAGAAGTTTTTCCACCAAACATGTCCCGACTAGACCAGTGGCGCCTGTTATTAGAATATTTTTTCCACTAAAAAATTTGCAAATATTGCTCTCCATTTTATGCAAATGTAACAATATTGTCTGTTGTAAAACTTACAATACACGAGAAACATCGTTCCTTCTTTTATATAATACTATTCCTTTAATATTTTAATATTTCAAATCATAAAATTTATTAACTCATAAGGTCACAGACATCGTTTGTACACATTTATGATACCCCATAAATTTAAACATAGTAAAATATTTTATAATAGACACATTATATTTTAATATACTTATCATACTTAATTCTATTATTTGTATTTTATGTCAAGTAATTTTATTTACAATCTGTTCATCAAATCATTATGATGATTTTTATTTATTTTTTATTTTGTAGGTTGGCTGTCGTCTTGTAGGTTAACTTCAGTAGTATATTGATGCTTTGTGATTCCACTATTTCCTTTGACAGTGAATCTGCTGCTACCCTTAAAATTGTCCCTCTCGGTGCTTGCAGAAATAGGGCCATCGTTCATCACAGATGAACAGTCAAATGAATGAGGTTCAGCATATGGATCACAAAGGGCCTGGCTTGACCAAGATTTAAACCTGTGACTACTGACACGTGGGTAAGGCGACTTAACCATTCGACTGTTAGTCGCCCTATTAACTAAAGTAATCTTCATTGTATTTTGTATTTAGTATTTCTTAGGTTTTCTACTAGTGTTAGTTTTGTTATAATTGCAAGAAACGGGAAATTGATAATTTTATTTAGTGCAGAAATAGGTAATATGGCCAGGTAATTTCAGTTTTGCAGGCTATTTTTATATTATTTATAATATCTTAGACACAATAGCCAAAAATAATAAAATTTTCTTTACGTTATTTACAATATCTGAAATTAAGAATTCTGAACTATCACTAACATGCCCAATAATTATTAAGAAAAAAATTGCTGAGAAAAGGAAACTACGCAGAATTTAGCAAACTAATAGAAGACGAAACGAATCTCAATCGGGCGATAAACTGAATAATTTTAAAAATACGAGGTTTGAAAAATATTAAATAATCTAACTGGAACTCCAATTTAGACCGAGAAAATGGAGCAATCTCAAATCCGTATTCCTCTTTCCTATACGCAATAGTGATGGTAACAGAAACAACAGGGAAAAAGCGAATGTGTTTGCAGAAATTTTGGTAAATGTCTGGAGAAGGAGATTGGTTGACAGTGTGGAAAAGATGGTTGAAATAGATCAGTTTTTGGATGCTCTATTCCAGATGAATCTCGAATTAAAACCTGTCCGTCCAGTTGAGGTATTTTTTATAAAATCAGAAAATTTAAATAAGACTCCTTGATATGACTTAATAACGGATAGAATAATAGAAGGAAATCCGCAGAAAATCCATTGTACTTCTCACCGCCATATTTAAAGCTTGTTTAAGATCTGGATATTTTCCTTCTCACTGGAAGGTCGCACAAATCGTAGTCATCCCAAGGCCTGATAAAGTTCCCGACGAAGTAACTTACATAAGCTTATTACAAGTGATATCTAAATTATTCGAAAATCAATTGCTCCATTGTTCTTTGGACCTATATTGACTGAGGAAAATATAATATCGGATCATCAATTTGATGAGCATCAAATCCATAGAGTAGCTAGCAAGATTAGGCAATCACTGGAAGAAAAAATATACACAGCAGCAATTTTAAATATCACACAGGCTTTCGACAATGTTTGGCATAAGCGTTTATTATATATTATATAATTAAACATAATGAAACATAATCTAATGACATACCATTCACCCTAAAAAAGGAACCTGTCCTTCAGTTACTTTAAATCATAATTTAATCCAATGAGCTGACGACGTCGAATAACTGTGAACAATTTTAGATCGCAGACTTACATGAAAAAAAAATATATAAAAACTAAACGGAAGCAATTAGGAATCAAATTCGCCTAATTATATTGGTTGATTGGGACACGATCGCAGTTATTACTGGAAAATAAAATTTTAATATATAAGGCAGTGTTAAAACCGGTGTGGACTTATGGTATCCAACTTTGGGGAACAGCTTGCAACTCAAACATTAACATTATTCAAAATTTCCAATCGAAGTGCCTGCGTACCTTGGTGTAAGCTCCCTGCTATGTGCCAAACGACGTTATCAAAAATGTCCTCCAAATGAATACAGTGAAAAGTGAAATCTTTAGCAATACTCTAGCAATTAACTTACTTGACAATAGTGAAACTCTCCATATACTAAAAAGGCATAACACCCTTGATCTCCCTTATAGATTTGAATATCAAAAGAACGTTTTTAGTTATTTGGTATTATTGTTAAAATTAATATTTATTTATATTATATTCTGTAATATGGAAGGTTTCAAATGAGAAACTATACCTCTTATTGTAATATTTTCAAAACTGGTGGTAGATTGTGAATAAGAAATTATTAAAATAAAATTAAAAAAGATAAAAATCCTTTATTTTATAGATTTATTGCGCATAACAATAATATTTCTTTCGAAGTCATTTTCATTTTCTAGATCATTTTCACTGAAAAGTAAAACATTTTCAATGTCAATTATTCAACTGTTTGTATCTTCAGTTGTTAGCATTCGGCAAGAAATTGTAATTAAGCCTCCTTTTTCTTTATCTTCATTTACTAAAGGTTTTCTAAATCTTTTACTGAAAAAAAATATAATAACATTTGCGAAAACTATAGATTGTTTTTACTTAGCTAGATTATTTTCTTATTATATCGCAACTTCTGGCTATATTTTCACTGATGAAATATTTTTAAGGGAACTTGGGCTTGAAATTGCGGAATTCATTATATCGAAGGTTTGTTAACATCTGTAAAGTTAACCGATGTGTGACTATATAATTAAAGCAAAAGATAACTTTACATCACTCAATATAATTATTAATAATTTTTTTATTTGTTTATTACGTTCAGCCTTTTGTAAAAGAACGATGCAATAAATAAATCAACAAATAAATGTAATAGACAATTAAAAATATGCGAAGCACATAATATAATAAATTTGAACTGGCGTTGCGCTGCTTGGGATTTTAATAGAGTTCATTGTAGGTAGTATATTGAGCAACAGGCGTAGGGTGTGTGTATATATATATAGCTGCATGATAGGATCGCTCCCCCTATTTTTATCAAGTGCGAGGGATAGAGGGATATTTGAATGAGAATGAATGCATCGGAATTTGGCCTCATTCCGGTGCCGCAGAATATTTTCTGTGCGCTGGTGACGACAAGACGAGATGAACCTGACAAGGCCAGAAATCCTCTCTCCATCTCGCGCATACCCATTCATACTTCGTTAACGCCCCCGCTACCGCACAATATAGCACTGAATACTGAAATGGGGATCGTTTGAAAAGCCATTAACACACCGCAAATATTATTTGCCAGCGATTCGATTGAATTCACACGATGAGAAAATTAATTAAAAATACTATATGTTAAGGATCTGTCTTCTTCAATAAATTGGATTTCAATAGCGCTGTGCTTCCTAATACATTTCCAATATAATTATTAAATAAAATAATATATACTACTGCAAAAACATTAGAATATATTTATTTGTTGTCCATATGGAATAAATCACAGAAAATCGAAATCTTAGATAAAAGTAAGTTCATTATACTTTTAGGCAAAAGTGGATTTCGACAGGATAATAAATGATAAAATCTTAATATTTGTTGCTATGCAGTATGATTATGTTGTTTATGAGAAAAAAAAACTTTTTAACATCTCATATTTATTTGTTATCATACCTGATGATTTGTAATATATGTATAATTAGAAGAACATTTCTTCTTATATTATTACCTAATTATTATAACGTATTTAAGAATAAAAAAAAACAAAGATTTTTTAACATTACTACAAAATGAACTCCATTAATTTAATATTTTTTTCTTTACATAATGAATATTGTTGTACTTATAGAGTACAACAAAATGTAAAGTTCTTTATAGTGCCAGCATATCAGTTTTAATTAAATAAAAAATAGATTAATGTTATTCATAAATTATAATTCTTCATTCAATTATATGTTTATGAGTATAGAAATACATTGCATACATATTAATTTAAGTTATGTTTATGTGTAAATTTAAAATGTCATTAAAATAATAACTTTCATTATTAAAATATATTTTCAAAAACCAGAAACATTGTCGTAGAAAATGTATTTCTGACTCTACATTTATTGGTAATAATGTTTATTGTGTGGCAGTCGAGTGTGCCACAAATACCAAAAATAAAATATTTGTAAAAAAAAAATGGAATTATAATTTATGGGACAAACATATAATAAAAAATAAATAAAATAGGAATAAATTTTAAAATTTGGACAAAACAACAATTGTATATAAATAAACATACATTCAGTCAAACGGATGTCAACCAACCATATAAAATATCTTGTAAGTAAATATTTTTTATTATCGTAAATTTTTGTACGCAGCTTAGGATGAAATGACTGTTATTGTAAAAAAAAGTTAAAAAAAAATAAATTTAAATGAATTTGATAATTATTTTTATCATCTTCTTTACGTTCAACAGAAAGTGCATTTTGAATTTTAGTATTTTATTTTTAAGTAAATTCATAATATATTATATTTTCTAACATATAAGTTTGACTGTTTTAATCTTATTTTATACATTTTTTATACAATTTTTAAATGATAGTATTATAATCATTTTAAATTAATTATTATTAAATATAATAGCGGTATTATCGTTTTTACTTTTCAGAGAAATTGCATTTCTTTTGCTTCCTTTTTATTCGGTCACAAGTTTTTTATGTAAATAATGTCTACAGCAATGGTTACAGCAGTTTGATTTGTTTTTAACGTTTTGTAATATCGTTATCTTATGCAAATTAATACTCTTGATTTAAACTCTGCCGATTAAAAAAAATATATCCCTCCCCTTTAGTCATTATATGAAGCAAGGATAAAGTAGTTCGGCGCAGGCGTTGCAAAACTTCGGTGGATAGTCATCCAGTTATTAAAAAGGTAGAAGTTTATTGCGTCGCGTGCATCCGGGCATACAACTTCTCTCAGCATCCACCAACGCAGACAGTCAACAGGTAAGGTTATATGGCTTTATATCGCAATGATCATACAAAAAATTGTTTGCCTTTGATAAATATTTTGTTATTATTTTAAAGATTTCAAATTATATTTCATTCTGAGCCAAATACAGGTATCCCCCGATTTATGAACTAGTTCCGTTACAAAGGGTTGTTCGTAAGTCAAGGGAATTAAAATTTTCAAAATGTAAAATTCAGTACTACTGACTACATAAATTTAAAAAAGTAGATTTAAAAAATACAAAATACTTACTTACAAATAGTTTTCAATGTAGACATCACAATTATTTATTAAAAAAATACAAAAGAAACAAATGCAACAAAAAAGTAGTACATCTTCCAAAAATATTATATTTAATTAAAAAAAAATATCAATTTCTGTTTGGAAAGTTATTTTTTTGTCACTATATATCTCCTTGATACAAGTTAGAGTTTTCAGAATTTTGTTCATAAGTTGGTAAGTCGGGGGATACCTGTACTAATTATATCTATTACTGGAGTATTGAAATTTCAACTAGATAGTTCATAATTATTTCCTTTGTGATTAATTTTGGTAGGACAAAAAGGCGGAACAGAATCTGAACAAAAAACAATTTACGCTCATTCAATACTTTTTGCATCAATATTTAATACCCTTTCTAAATTTATTACTTTCCGATTAATTAAGTAAGATGTGATGACATTAATTAGTAGAAAATATGAATCTTAAAATTATATTTCTTATTACGTTTGTCGGATTTTAAAAACCGTTCTTTATAAAGAAATTTAATTCGAAAGCCGGTTTTTTCAACTTATAAACCGGTTTTTGAGCCTACATGTAAAATATAGTTAAACATGTATTAATTATTTTAATTTGATTAAAAATATAAACATTTCTTTGATAAAATCGTCTACGCCGTTTTATTGTTAAATACTTAGTTTAATGAAACAAACAGAAAATTGGGAAAAAAATAAGTCTTATTCTTAATTACCAAACGAGATGGAAAAGAGGTCATAATAGAAAAATCAATTTATAAAATATCTTCAAGAGCCTAAGGAAATTAATTCATCCTGTCTATAATGATAGTATTATTTAGATTCGTTATTTAGTACTTTAAAGACAATTAACAAATCTGTTTTTCTACATAGATTCTATTGAACAATTTATATTTTGTTATAGTTTTATTTAATATTGTAGATTTTTGTATAAACCATTCTGATAACTCATTCAATATAAACAATCAAGCTTTATAAACATAAAATAATGTGAATTATGTTTTTCTTAAATACATGTTTCTAATTTCCTTACATACATATTATAAGTTTGTATTCATTTGTTGTGCTTATTATTTTATTGCGGGATAATTACGAGAAAAAAGAGATTGGAATAATGTGACCTGGAGTGATGAGATTAACATGTTTTTTTTTTCAGATAAACTTGACATAATCATATTTGGTATTCAATTTTCGTTAAAGTTAATTATGTAAAGCAATACTAATAAATAGAAATCGATTATTGTTTTAGCAGTTTATTTAACAAGACTTTAACTTTTTATTATAGAAGAATCAATATAATTGTTGGAAAATTATAAATACGTCTCGAAACATCTATTTTTTGAATTTGGAAATATAAATAATGCATATAATAAAGATGTCAGAATTGGAATTCAATTCATGCCAGTATTAGAAAATCTAATTAGGAATTTCTGTTCGACGACGGACTTAATACGTCAAACTTAGTGATCTTAATTATCTTAAGAAGTTCGAGGAGTCGAGAGATTTCAATACCAAAATTAATCATAATTTTATTACGACGTTCCAATTATATTTTGCCTAAATGTTAACCGAATATTCGTATTTGCAGCAAACTGGTTTTGATTATTTTTTTTTAAGGATGGACAGTGATGAATTTAGGGTCCGAGGGAAGGAAATGGTGGAGTACATCTGCAGTTATTTGGAGGATATTTCTAAACGACGTGTTACGCCTTCTGTCGAGCCAGGTTATTTACGTAAATTGATACCAGCCGAAGCACCGCAGGAACCGGAGGAATGGGAATCCATCATGCAGGATGTCGATGCTAAAATTATGCCCGGTGTAACCCATTGGCAACATCCTAGGTTTCACGCATATTTTCCAAGTGGAAACTCATTTCCTTCAATTTTAGGAGATATGCTGGGCGATGCAATAGGTTGCATTGGATTTTCCTGGGTACGTATAATTTTTTAGAGTTAACTATTTTTGTAATAAATGTTTAACAATCATATTTTAGGCGGCAAGTCCAGCATGCACGGAGTTAGAAACTATAGTGTTAGATTGGTTGGGTAAGTTTGAAGTATGCAAACGAATGGATTATATGGACTAATTTAATATTTATGATTCGATAGGAAAAGCTATTGGACTTCCCGACGATTTTCTTGCAATGAGACCAGCCAGTCGAGGTGGAGGCGTTATACAGGTGAAAAACAAAACCGTTTGCTGTTATATGAACTAAATAACTATTTCTTGCATATTCAGACATCTGCTAGCGAATGCGTTTTGGTGACAATGTTAGCAGCTAGAGCACAAGCCCTGAAAAGGTTAAAGCAACAACATCCTTTCGTCGAAGAGGGTGTTCTACTCTCGAAGCTTATGGCATACTGTTCCAAGGAGGCTCATTCGTGTGTCGAAAAAGCGGCTATGATTTGCTTCGTAAAATTACGTATATTGGAACCAGATGCTAATAGTTCTCTTAGAGGGAACACGTTGCAGGCGGCAATGGAAGAAGATGAAACCATGGGTTTAGTGCCATTCTTCGTATCTACTACGTTGGGGACAACGTCGTGCTGTTCATTTGATAATTTAATGGAAATAGGTCCGATCTGCAGTAAATTTCCATGCGTTTGGCTGCATGTCGATGGAGCATATGCTGGCAATGCTTTTATTTGCCCAGAATTGAAACCACTCCTGCAGGGAATCGAGTATGCAGATTCATTTAACACTAATCCCAATAAATGGTTGCTCGTAAATTTTGATTGTTCAACACTCTGGGTTAGAGATAGAATGAGATTAACTTCAGCTTTGGTGGTAGACCCATTATATCTGCAGCATGGTTATTCTGATACGTCAATAGATTATAGGCACTGGGGTGTACCACTTAGTAGAAGATTTCGCTCTTTAAAACTGTGGTTTGTGATGCGTAGTTATGGTATATCTGGTTTGCAAAACTATATTAGACATCACATTAAACTTGCGAAACAGTTTGAATTATTAGTTTTAAACGATCGTCGGTTTGAGGTTTGCAATGAAGTCAAGGTAAAAATATTTAAAATGATTTGATTAAAAATTACTTTTATTTCTATTATATTTATAGCTTGGTCTAGTTTGTTTTCGATTGAAAGGAAAAGACAAACTAAATGAAAAACTGTTAAGCAGTATAAATGGTTCCGGAAAACTACATATGGTACCAGCAAACGTAAACGAGAAATATGTCATACGGTTTTGCGCTGTTGCTCAAAACGCAAGTAGTGAGGATATTGGTAAAATTTAAATAAAATCAAAATTATGATAATTGTATATAAATACATTATTATTATTTTAGAATACGCGTGGAAAGTTATAACAGAATATGCCAGCGAATTATTAGAGAAAGATGAATGTGAAAAGGAACAAGTATGTATCATAATTATCGTTTGATTTATGAAAAATTAATATATTTGTATTTCAGGAATTACACGATGAAGTATTTGAAATTTTAAACAGCAAGAAAAAAGAAACGTTGGCTCAGAAACGATCATTTTTCGTTAGAATGGTAAGCGATCCAAAAATCTACAATCCTTCCATTGCTAAGGGATCACCAACGACACGTAGACATCTCACGGAGAGTGCAGTATCTCCAGAAAATATCAAAGTGGAACCACCATTGTAAATATAATTGTGGTAATATGATAGATCATTACTTTAAAATTGTATTGCAGAAATAGTTCATCTTGGATTAGCTGGCCCATTGCATTTATATTACATGGCAGAAATGATGATAGTGCTAGCGGAGATGTTCCTATAAGGTAAAATGAAACTATTAAATAAATGCATATAATTTCTATAAATTTTCACAGATTCAGACATTTGGAGGCTAAAGTAAGGTTGACAGCTGCTTCTAAACAAAACGGAGGTCAAATTCAATCTGCAGATTTAGATGTTAAGTCTGCGAGGCGTTCCCCGATATCGAACAAAAAATAATTTAACACATTATATAGCTATCAGTTGGAACAAGACAGGACCGCTTTATACAAGAGTACTTAATAAAAGAATATATATTCGGCTTTCAAAAAAACACATACATTAATTGCATCTATTATACAGATATTAAAGAATGTAATGGCAATTGTTGTGACTGGTTTAATAAAATAAATAAACAAAAAGCATATTATTTATTTTGTACTTTTAAGCAAAAAACAGTGATAGCTAAAAATAGAACGTAATAGACAATAATGCCAGGTATTTTATGGTAACACGAATTATTTTGCTGTGAAAAATCACATTTTTTTCATCTTTTTTCCAATAATCATTATAAAATTTCAACAAAATTGCAAGTTCAGAATAGAAAGCATAGTAGAAACTTCTGAATTGTCGAATTAAATAAAAAAATATTATTATTTGACAATGAGATCAGAATTTTTTCATCGATGAAATCGCTCGACGCATTCAAAAGATACAATAATTAATTTTAAAAACTATTTTTTGAACCCAGTTAGATTTGAAAAATCTGAGAGCGCAATAATATTAGCAACGCTTTCGTAAGTAACTATACCAAGTTCCATCAAAATCGCTCGACGCGTAAAAAACGATACAAATAATTTTTAAAATCATAGCCGCTTTTTCGACACACGAATGAGCCTCCTTGGTACAGTATGCCATAAGCTTCGAGAGTAGAACACTTTCTTCGACGAAAGGATGTTGTTGCTTTAACCTTTTCAGGGCTTGTGCCCTAGCTGCTAACATTGTCACCAAAACGCATTCGCTAGAAGATGTCTGATACAAATTATTTCTTATATCGAGTGCCATTTGAAAAATATAACAAAGCTATAATATTACCAGACCTTGCCTAAGCGACTACAACAAGTTTCATAAAAATTGCTCGACGCGTTACAAAGATATAATTAATTTGGCCCACCATTTTTTTTATGTCATGTAATTTGTAAATTGTTTTACATTGAGTAAATTTAAATTCTGAAAGCTTTGCAATATTAGCAGCGTTCTCTTATGTGACTATAATAAATTTCATGTAAATCGCTCATCGCATTCAAAAGATACAATTATTTTTGCATAACAATTAATTTTAAAAATTATTTCTTGAACAAAGTGCGATTTGAAAATTCTAAGAGCATTATAATTGTTAGGAAAAATAATTTTTATTCTGAACGCTTTGAGCGCTTTGGATGAAACTTATTATAATCACATACGAGAGCGCAACTTATTTTGTAACGCTCTCAGAAATATTTTTTCTTATTACGAGGTATAAATAAATATATAAATAAAAACTTATTACTTATTACTTATTACACTTATTACTTATTACTTATTACTTATTACTTATTACTTATTACTATTACTATTACT